AGCCAACAGTAACGAGTTAGCTATGTGTAGTCATTGATAGTAACTCTAACTTACTGATACCTGACTAATATTAGTAAACGAATATAAAGATTGTTAAATCTTATTCAGTTCCCTGATTGATATCAGCCAGACGACCAAAGAATACCTGAAAACAAACTGGAAAAGCGTTTCGTCCTAATACAAGTCTTCTTAGCAGTACTTATCCAAGATTTGACAACTAGGAAACGAAACTCTGATCTCTGAACAACAAAACAACTGCAATAGATAGATAGGTAGATAGATATGCCTACAAATTTATCAATAATCCAACAATTAAACACATGATTCCATAGCCTACAAATGTTGCTATGCAAATTTAATTACATCTCATAAATATAATTACATTTAAAATGAAACACTAATTACATATGGTATCATTTGAAAAAACAATACACTCCCCCATAGGTTACTCTCTCTCTCTCTCTCACTCCCCCATTCACATCATACAACCCCATTGATAACACATGTATATGTAGATTCATTTTAGTAATTAAATTTACTAAAAGTGTTATTAATTAATTAAAAAATAATATCCATTATTATTATTATTATTATTATTATTATTATTATTATTATTATTATTATCGATTTGGTTCATTCACAATTGATCTGTGCTCAGAGGCACGACTGTGGGACTAGAATCAATAATGAGTGTATGATGAATGTAAGAGGGATAGAGAGACACACACACACACAGAGACACAGACAGACACACAGACAGACAGTGAAATATGAGTCATTTGTCATAAATTTAAGAGACTGAATGACTGATAGATTTGTATTCAAAATTATCAAAATTTGACAGATCAATCAATGAATAAAAATAAACCTGTTGGTTCAGAATTCAATCCATCTATATAGTTTGTATTATATTCAATAAAATAGACAGATTTACTTAAATTTTTTGCTTTGATCGAATACCTCTTGACTAGTTATACACAAAACAAACTGATAATGTATAGAACAACTTAGTCAAGTATAATAAAACACATAGTAGTGTATTTTTCGTACACTTGAAAATTAGGCTCCATGATACAAATAAGTGAATCAACATCATGCATATCCCAAAAACAAACAAAAATAAGTTGATCCATAAGTAAATCATTCATTGAATTTAATCACCATGGTAACTATGTGTGTTCTAGGTCAATAATGGATTTAATAGTTAGTATTATATTAGTAAACTGAATAGAATAGTAATAGAGAAATAAAATTTTGATGGATACTTAGTAGTGGTAGTAGTTGTTGTTGGGTATTTTTTTATCGTCGTACAAATAATAGTAATAGTAATCATTATCAAGCCCAAGTTACTGTTTTCTAAGATGAAATACTCTATTTTAGGGCACAGTTTTGGAGGTTTGCGATTTTTTACACATTTGAAAACATCAATCAATCATTGTTAGACTGACACCATTAGAAACCTGGAAGAAGCACTGGAAGACGGCCGTTTCGTCCTGGTATGGGACTCGTCAGTGGCAGTGCGCATCCACGAATCCTGCTCCTCGCAGGATTCGAACCCGGGACCTTTGGCATTGTAGGCGAACGCCTTACCATCGGACCACTGGGCCGGTAACTGCGGGATGTTAATGTCTAACTCTGATTGATCTAATGATCTTGCGCGATCTCACCCATTTGTCTTTGGTAGTTATTGCCTACACCCGACAGGGTTGAACTCCATTGGTCACGTCTTCTTCGAATCCTGTGAGGAGCAGGAGTCGTGGATGCGCACTGCCACTGATCAGTCCCATACCAGGACGAAACGGCCGTCTTCCAGCGCTTCTTGCAGGTTTCTAATGGTGGTCTAACAATGATTGACTGATGATTTCAAATGTGTAAAAAGGTAAGCATAAAACATATTCTTCCGGTGATTAATTCGGGTTGGCAAATACGGTGAGTATATCTAGACGAGCTGGAAAATCTTCATTCTAAAGCAAAAGTATGTATAGACTGAGGATTTTAAAGAAACGAATGGTACATAAACTCGATATTAGCCGCCAGTTCCTATAAGCATGCGTCTTCGTACATTGCTGCTCTGCCTTGTGAACTAAACCTTTATATTACAAGATTAATGAGTAACACTCTAAAGAAGCTACTCCGTTTCCTGTAGATAAACTGCATCCTGTGAGGATCGCTTCGATACTGATTTCAGGTTACAAGCACTGTTAACAGAGGTTTATAATAGTTAGCAGAGGAATCCAAGATAGACATTTTGTTCTATTTAGTACTGGTCAGTTGACCATACCTACCATATTCTGGAGTTGATGTCCACACCATGGCTCGAACCCGGTTCTACTCATTTCAAACATCATCTCATTGTTCAGTTAGCTACTGAATCTGGTTATATGTAATTTTATTATGAAAAATGATTATTTGTACATCTCAGAGTTGCTAAATGGATGATACGTGCGTTGATCCATGATTTCAAAAAGTAACTCAACAATCTCCACAACCCCATAATGCAAATTACCCTGCTCACTAATGACTAGCTCCGTGAGTAGTCTTCTTCTATTTCTAGTGTGAAGTCATGACCAGTGTAGTTCAGCCTTATTCGGGTGTAAAGCAGTGCTCACCAAAAAGAGTGGATGAGGTTGTGCAAACAGAGTGGACTTATCGATGTTAAACACTAACGCCGTTCGATACCGGCAGAGTGGTCCAGAGGTTACGGGTTTGCGCACAAGATCTAGGATCCTGGGTTCGAATCCTGCAAAGTGAAGGAGTCACGGATACTCATTACCTCTGATAAGTCCTAAACCAGGACGAAACGGCGGTTTTTTCAGTGCTTCCATGTTTCTAATGATGGTCTAACATTGACCGATTCATTTTTTTTATTAAAAAGTAACTCAGCAATCTCCTCAATCCCATAATGTAATACATTATTGTTTGAAATAAACGATACTAGCAAATCATGCCCTGAATTGAACTACGGGATTGTTGATCAAGTTAGACATTAACACCATTAGATACCGGCTCAGTGGTCCGATGGCTAGGCGTTCGCCTACAATACCGAAGGTCCTGGGTTTAAATCCTGCGGGGTGCAGGAGTCGTGGATGCGCACTGCCACTGATGAGTCCCACACCAGGACGAAACGGCCGTCCAGTGCTTCTTCCAGGTTTCTAATAGTACTCTAACATTGATCGATTCGTGGTTTCAAATAACCTGAACTGAACATCAGCTTTAAAATATGGTAGGCATAACCAGTCCTAACCAATCCTAAATACTACAAAACGTACATCTTGAATTCCACTGCTAATTACTATTCACCTGTGCTAATCAAAAAAAGTACAGAGCTCATTATTATTATCATCCTATTATCAAATACTTTCCATGATTGATTACTAGTGATTAGTTTTTATCAAACCGATAAATTTGATGATGATGATGATGATGATACTTCTGGGTCATGATTTCACTTATAAAAGCTAACCATTCGCATGCAAGATCGATGATCTTGAGTTCGACGCTTACAAGTGAAGGTCATGGATGTATTCTGTCGAAGAGTCCTATAGTAAGATGAAGTCGTGACCAGTGAAGTTCAAACCTGTCCGGATGTATACAGGGTATGAGGTTGAGCAACTCCGTGAATTCGATCAAGTTAGACATTAACACCGTTAGATAGCGGCTCAGTGGTCCGATGGTTAGAGCATTCGCCTACAATACCGAAGGTCCTGTGTTCGAATCCTGTGAGGTGCAGAAGTCTTGGATGCGCACTGCCACTGATGAGTCCCATACCAGGACAAAACGGCCGTCTTTCAGTGCTTCCAGGTTTCTAATGGTGGTCTAACATTGATCGATTCGTGGTTACAAATAAGATGAAATAGTCATCTAGTGAATCTAGGTTATGAATAAAATGAACTAGTTAAGGTCGATTCTTAACAAATCCTCCTTTATACTAACTTATACAATTTTATGAATAAACATTTTTTTTTAAAAATAGTGATAATTGAATCAATATTAATCTATTTTTTTTGAATTGGAAAAAAAAATTCTTTTTTTTCCAATATACATACTTAATATTGATTGTACCCAGAAATTCAATGTTCATGAACTGAGCTCAAATTACAAATCAATAAATTTATTTGAAATCATCAATCAATCATTGTTAGACCACCATTAGAAGCCTGGAAGCACTGGACGGCCGTTTCGTCCTGGTATGGGACTCCTCAGCAGTGCGCATCCACGACTCCTGCTCCTCGCAGGATTCGAACCCGGGACCTGGGTGAGGTCGCGCAAAATCCCTAGATCAATCAGAGTTAGACATTAACACCGTTGGTCCGATGGTAAGGCGTTCGCCTACAATGTCAGAGGTCCCAAGTTCGAATCCTGCGAGGAGCAGGAGTCGTGGATGCGCACTGCCACTGAGGAGTCCTATACCAGGACGAAACGGCCATCCAGTGCTTCTTGTAGGTTTCTAATTGGTGGTCTAACAATGACTGGTTGATGATTTCAAATATGTAAAAACGCAAACCTCCAAAACTGTGCCCCTGAATAAATTTATTTTTGATTGTAGTAATTCGATTATCAATAGTATAAATATATGATTAGAAATGATGAATGCCTTTTTTTTATAATACTAATTTCTATTATATAGAATTGTGTCCACACTTGTGACTAGTTTCATGAGAGAAATTCACAGTGAAATTCACTCATCTTGCGTGTTAAGCAGTTATTTAAGGAAGACAATGGATGAGGTTGAGTAATATATTGTGGTCTGAATAAAGTTGAATACTGGCTTAGTGGTTAAGCATTCACACACGAGACCGGAGGTCCTGCATTCAATTCCCTTTAGACGAGGGCTATGAATGTGCACACTACTGATGAGTTACATATTAGGACGAAGTGACCATTTATTTCTATTCAGCTTTCTAATGAAGGTCTAACAATGATCAATTCATGATTTCAGTGAATAAATTTCATGAACAAGCATATATATATATATGTATATATTTATACACTAAACTTACTGTATTTACAACCTGGAGAAGCGCATAATACTTGAACTTCAGAATGCAGTGATTGTTGATCATTGTCATTGGAACAAACACAACAGACATTGATTGGTACTGCACATGTATGCATAGATTGTTCTTGTGATTGTTTGATATGATATTGTTGAAAATCACTAATAGAATGTGCTAATTCACCACGTGTATCTTCATGAATTCCAGTTAAATAAGATACTGGATGAAGATGATGATGAGGAGGAGTTGGATGATAGGATAGACGAGTTGTTGGACAATATTCTTCATTGATACTGTTTGTATGTTGTTGATCTTCTGACATTTGTAATTGAGTTAAATCATTGGACATCGGTCAACAATTATCTATCTATCTGTATGTGAAAAGGCAATTGCCAATTGTATTGTCAATTAATTTACATTCTTGGTTTATTTTTTTTCTGATATTCAGTGTTTGAAACAAACAATGTATAATTTCCTCTAATGTGTGTGTTTTTTTTTCTTGAACGCCACAAAAAAGTAGTTTTATGCAATAATATTAGCAGTTTTGTTTAGAAAAATCAACAACAGCATTTTATCCTTCATTACATCTCTCTTACTATTTTTTTTCTTCTCAAATTTAAAGTACTTCAAATAGAAAAAAAAAATTTTTTTTGTCCGAATAAAGGTCACATTAAGGACTAACTAAAATTGTAGGTCGTACTTTTTCATTGTATATAAATTCTGACCAATAAAAATTGTTTTGATAAAAAGTACGGAATAGAATGATTGGTTAAAAGGATTAATTGTTGTATGCAGAAATTAACCAATAGGAATTGAGTAAACAGTTGAGAAATAATTAGATAATTTCATTGTTCTTTCATTCTGCAAAAGGGATTTATTTATTTACTCATTTAGATTTGATGTTTTTTTAACTCTGACTTTCATAGTTTGTATGTAAATCGATGCAATGTTTATTGTAGAGAATTATGTTAACATGACACAAATCGATGAAATCACTGACATGTTAGTAGGTCAGGGTCCGTGAAGTAATCATAATCGATGGTTGTAAACTTTGGATGACATAGATCAAAATCGTTTGCTATAGCAATGATGTATTCATTCACTGTCTTTTCTCAAATTCTAATCTTCTGAATTATTCATGACCTTTTTTCTCTTTTATTTGAGATTTATTCCAGTGGATAAATACTTGTTGAATCGTTTCTTCGATCGCTAATCATCTCCAATTAGTGGTAATAATTCTGTGGTGCGCGCTACTTATAAGTAGTATATGACGCGAGTGTAAACGTAATGTCTGGCAACAGAAGATGGGGGAAGATCAAGAAAGGAAGAGTGGGAATACAATGGAATTTGTTTGAAACGCATGAATAGTGAGTGAAATGTCAGACAATGGATTGAAGATTTGCAAATTAAAAGCGGTTTACGATATGGTTTTCCTATTTTACTGAGTAACTCTGTAATTTTCGTTAAATACAATTCGGTTGCCCTCACCTGTGTTCTCCTTCACTATAGTACTACTGGTATATTTAAGTACTTACTCAGTGACTCAACAAAACTGTATTTATTCATGAAGTTTTAGAAATAACGCTTGTTGTTCTCCATTACTTTAATGGGATACTAACAACTCAAGCTTATTTCTAAAGTTGATAAAACGCCCATTGGTGAGAGTCACAAAATAGCCTACAAAAATAATCCATCAACCAATGATAGTCAAGGATTTTTCTGAAGGTCAACTAAGCGTCTTTGGCGCAGAAACATAAAAATTCAAAATGTTCAGAATAAAATTACAAAGTTAGGACCTTTTCCAAATGAGTGCTGCTTGGCATCTAACTGTTGGGGATGTTAGATTCCCAGAACTAGATCCCTAGAACTAGAAACATCCTTGGGACAGCCTACGAAAAATAGCACACTAAAATACACAGCAGCCAATCACAACCATGGATTTTCCTGGTGGGAATTGAAATCTCAAGGTCAACTGATCGGCCCATGCTGGCAAACGTGAAATCCAAGATAAGGCATTTATCAAGCTAATTCTAGGGATCTAACATCCCCAACACCTTGAGATCACATTTCCCACCAGGAAAATCCTTGGCCGTGATTGGCTGCTGTGTATTTTAGTGTGCTATTTTTGTGACTCTACAGAGGACATTTCTATGTTGTATAAATAAACGAGATTTGTGTGCTTGATTGTATTGTGCTTGCTGGGAGTTTGTAGAATATACTTTCTACGCTTATCAAGACTTTTTGGTTAGTCATCAGATCAAGGTAGCCTACCTGTTGGTTGGTTCATTGTTTCAATCTCGTTTATCGACTAACCTGAACTCGTAATAGTTTCAAGCATACTTAATGACGAACCTAACAATTAAATACATCATATAACTTTATCATCGATTTTATGCTGTCTATATGATATTATGACAAGAAATACAATTCCATGCTGTGTATACACTCCTATCTGACCACCGACAACAAAAATATTAAAAAAAATTCTTTGAACTAGAACTGATGTATGACAAAAACAATTGTTTATCAATCATATATTTGAAATTACTCACTAAACGTACAACTAAACATAATTTTCAATGTCGTAAAACAAGAACAAATTGAACAGTGAGAAAAAAAATTTAGTATTCAATCAGTTAAAATGTTTTCATTCAGTCATTTCGTTTTAATACACTTCAAGTTCAAAAATGAAAGTGTTTACATATATTATGTTAATAATATAATAAACTTGTAACTTTTAGTATGTGTACCGCCGAAGCGATAATGTCAGTCTATCATATATATATATATTGTTTAGATACATAGATAAAGAATGAACCAATCAGAACGATGATGACACCTCAAGTTTTTTGCGCGAAATTGAAAGTTGAACGATACAAGAGCGGAACAGCATGGATTAGATAGATTGAACTTTTGATGAGAAACTATGCAGCTTTAATATAAACCAAATCAATCTTGATGGAGATGTCTTGGAGGACATTAACACCTTTACATATCTGGGCAGCATCATCGACAATCAAGGTGGATCCGATGCAGATGTGAGGGCGCGGATCGGCAAAGCAAGGGCTGCATTTCTACAGTTGAAAAATATCTGGAACTCCAAACAAATATCAATCAACACCAAAATCAGGATTTTCAATACAAATGTCAAGACAGTTCTACTGTATGGAGCGGAAACTTGGAGAACTACGAAAGCAATCATCCAAGAGATATAAGTATTTATGAATAGTTGTCTACACAAAATACTTCGGATTTGTTGGCCCGACTCCATAAACAACAACGTACTGTTGAAGAGAACAAACTAGATTCCAATGGAGGAGGAAATCACGAAGAAGTAGTGGAAGTGGATAGGTCACACACTGCGGAAAACACCCAACTTCGTCACAAGACAAGCCCTCACTTTGAACCCTCAATCTAGGATGAAAAGAGGAAGACCAAGGAACAAGTTCAGTTGAGAAATGGAGACAGACATGAGAAGAATGAACTGTGATTGGACAGAACTAGAAAGGAAGTCATAGGACAGTGTAGGATGGAGAATACTGGTCGGCAGTCTGTGCTCCATTGTGGGTAACGGGCGTAAGCATAATTTTCAATGTCGTAAAACAAGAACAAATTGAACAGTGAGAAAAAAAATTTAGTATTCAATCAGTTAAAATGTTTTCATTCAGTCAATTTGTGTTCATTCATTTCAAAAATGAAAGTATTTTCATAAATTATGTTAATAATATGATAAAGTTGTGACCTAGAAGTAAAATTTTAACAATTTCGATAAGTTTTGTCCATCATATCTTTTGATTATAGGTTCACTGTTGTATTGATTAGTACATGCGAATAAACTGAATATGAGACATTTGTCCATATAAAAAAATCTAGGGAAAACCGAAATCACACTGAAGGACTATCTAAGGATGGAACTTTGAATCAACACGAAAATAAGGATTTTCAATACAAATATCAAGACAATTCTACTGTATGGAACGGAAGTTACAGAAACACGAACGCCATTATCCGGAAAATACAAGTACTCATTAACAGTTGACTATGCAAGATGTTAAGGATTCGTCAGCAAGACAGCATCAATAACAACCTACTATGGGGTAGAACAAACCAGATTCCAGTGAAGGAGCAAATCAAGAAGAAGCGATGGAAGTGGATAGGAAATACACTGCGGAAAGCACCCAACTGAGTCACAAGACAAGCCTTCACTTGGAACCCTCAAGGTCAAAGGAGAAGATTAAGGCCAAGGACCATATTACGTCGAGAAACAGAGAAAGATATGAGAAGAATGAACAAAAATTGGAGAGAATTGGAAAATAAAGCTCAGGAAAGAGTAGGTTGGAGAATAGTCGTCGACAGTCTATTCGCCATTGCGAGTAACAGGCGTAAGTAAGCAAGTAAGTACTATTTAAGGACTTGAATTATTGATTTGAATAATGGAATATATAATCCATTTGCGTTTAAATCTTACCATTGATGCTTAGGACTGAAATCGGTCAATCTCACTTAGCATATTTGCATCCTGTGAGCGGATTGCCTCGATATTGAATTTAAGGTTACAATAAACATTATGAGCAAAGATGGATGATATCTAGAAGTGAAATCCAAGATGCGTGTTTCACCCCTATTCGGGACTCATCTACTGCCATCTGAAGCCAGCTAAGAAATCCCAAATAGAACAAAACGTGCATCCTGGATTTCATTACTACTCACTATCCACTTCTTCGAATAATATAACATATATATTATGAACAGAAATAGATTATAGCTAACAGTGATATCCAGGACTGCCGTTTCATCCTATTTAGGACTTCTCAGTTGAATGTACATATATTTCCGTGTTGATGTTGAATCCGAGAAGTGAACGATACTTGATTCAAATCCCCTGAGTGAATATCAACTCTGGAATGCAGATACATTGAGACAACAAGTCTCATGTAGGACGAAACGAGCCTCCTGAATTCCACTGCTAACCTTCTTCCATCTCTGCCTAGAAAAATGCTTCTGACTCAATGACAATATCGAGGCAATCTGCACAGGATGATTATGTATATATGTACACTAACAGAAAATGACCAGCTGCAGTCGTAAAACATCAACAGAAAGATCTAACCTTCCAGTATATGTCCATATATATATGAACAGATATTATGGGAATATTATTTTCAGGTAGTAGTATTTTTGAAGGATACCTGATCAAAATACCAAAGAAAGGCGATCTCAGCAAGTGTGAGAACTACAGAGGCATCACTCTTCTTTCAATACCAGGCAAAGTCTTCAACAGGGTATTGTTAAACAGAATGAAGGACTTCGTAGATTCCCAACTTCGAGATCAACAGGCCGAATTTCGCA